CGCTGCTCAAAGATTTGAAACCGTTTCATTTGTAGCTAAATAATTCTTAAAGGCTTTAAATGTTCTGTGTTTACTACTAATGTGCAAAAAGAGCCAATTTGGCAGATGAAGGTCTAATTTGAGGTTTGCGTCTCCTAATATTTGAACCAGAGACAGATGGCTGTTGGAGTCGGAGGCAGAATCCCAATCAGACATCTTGGTAGGTGTGAAACGGGGAAGTGGGACAAATCGAGTAGGCAGGGGGTCCGAGGGGAGCAGCGCATTCATGTTGCTTTTTAGGGATTTCTTTTTTTTTTTCACCCGATATCTTTGCGAAAGTGCAAAAAAGACTTGTGAGAGAAAAACAGGCCCCTCTGTGGAGCGGGAGGTAGCTTTTCACAGGACTGTTGGCAACACATATGTCTGAAGCTTTTCTACCATATGGCTGTCTGAGCTTTCTCCAGCGGTAATTAAATCCTACACATTTCTAAAGCCAGAGCTGGCTGGCTTGTGTCAGCGAGTCATTTGGCAGAGGGAAGACAAAGAGAGAGAGAGAGACCACTCCAGAGTCATTTCACAAGTAGAACGACACACGGAGGCAACAAGGCTGGAGTTAGGTCTCAGCCAGCGAGCCGGGATGGCATCAGTGAAGGAAGGGCCTGGGCACATCATGCCAGAGAGGTTACGTCTCAGAGGACTCGGTGTATCATATCATACATACAGGGGGGGGGCATCTGATAAAATCATAATCTATACGTTCAAATGATTTAACACAATACTGGTTACAGCTATACACGGTTAATGAAAGCTTTCACATTTACAACGGTCTGGCACTTATCTCAGATGAGATAAAGAGGACAAGAACACTATTACCAAACTCTGGTTTCTGTTCATGCAAAGTTTGACTCAAACATTTGAATCAGCTGTAAAGGCTTGTGTAACTACATAAAACCCTTCATCATATGATGTTTTATTGTATCTCAGAGGAAAGACATGTCCCTAAGTGGACCAGAAAGAGTTTTGGGAGGACGTACCTGGGACATCTGTGGGAAGAGACTGATGGCGAGAGGCAGAGCCAGGCCGAAGGCGGCGAGGCACACCAGACTGTGGACGGGCAGGACGAGTCTCCGCCGTCTCTGCAGGAGAGGAAGCCTGGTGGGACACAGAGGAGACTTTATTTACCTGACGGTTAACGTACGCCGGTGATAGAATGCATCTTCCACAAAGACTTTATACAGATACCAACATGTTCAAAAAGCAGGAGTTAAAGTAACCGTTTTAAATGTGAAAATACAGTTCAGTTAACAGGAATAAACGCTGGCAATTCAACCGGTTTGTGAACAACATATTTCAGGCACTTCCTGGCACAAAACATGCAACAACAGGAAGTGACAAATCTAGGCAACGTATGCCCTCCATTTAAATACAGAAGGAAGAAACATCTAAGTCGGGGTTTTGCAGATAAACAGATTTTATGTCACAGCAACATTACATCCTGCAAATCAGAAACAACCCCCGATATCTTCATTATTATTAACCCTCTGTCAGACAGACAGCACAGTATGAAGTGAGAACGGTACATCTCCTGTGGATCGGAAGTTAAACGAAGTTATTATCAAATAATAAGCTGCTATTCAATCACAGATTCAGAGGTTTCTGTTCAGGAACATTGAGCTCCAGAACCAACACCACTACACAGTTACACCATTACATTGTATTACCAAACTCTCCTCATCTTTGCTTTTATTATCATTTCTTCAGAATTCTAAACACTTTAGAAAACACATTACCATCAATTATAAAAGTCGCGTTTTGAACAAAACCGACTTTTTAAGGACGTTTTAAAGACCCATCTCCAAAAATATATTTGTGGTCTCAGCCCATATTCCTCCTCCCCCCCGCTGCCCTCTGTAGGATAATCCCCTCTTCAGTGAGCGGGACAGTGAACTCAGCAGGAGCTTGAGAAAGAGCCGCTCCATCTTTCCTCCACCAGCGCCGCCTCTCCCCCTAACGAGGAGAGCTACTGCCTAATGAGGGAGCTCATTAACACATATGGCTTCTATGGTTTAATTAGGCTACACACACACACACACACACACACACACACACCGTAGAACTGGGTTACAAAGAGAAAAGTCAATGGGAGAAAAGTTGTGAGGTTTGAGAGTGATGGGGGACGGTTTGGGCACAAGTTTGAAAATCAGGTGAAAAATTATCCAAAATTAATGACACAATTTCACGCAATCCTGTCTGCGTGAACATGCACTGAATAAGCTGGCTGCTGGCCATCTTCTGGTTGAGGTCGTACCCGGTTTCACTGTTTACATGAACCTGTAACACCGCCACTGAGCCGCCCTGTCGCCACGAGAAGACCAATTAATGGAATATCCCTGCTGACTTGAGTCTCTGCCACATACAGATACAACACTACGTTATCATAGTGACCGTCACCAAACATTCATTTATAAAGTCACAAAGCCACGGCAGCCGTAGAGGTTCTACTCGGGGCAACGCATTTTCCTGACTAAAAATAATTAATAGTGATTAAATATAGTTGCGTTTGCACGAAGGCCACAAATGAACGTCAGGGAAGAACAAAGCATTAAATATGGTGCTTTCTGAACATTATTATTTTACCTTTTGTTCACTTTCTACTCCTGCAGAGCCAGCTGCACCGTGGATACAGAGGCTTGTAAAGAGGAACAATAAACTGTAAAGCAGGTTTCTCATTTTGACACTAAACAAACACCTTGAGAAGAAGGTGGGGGGTGATGAACATGAACATGCAACGGAATTAAATAAAAGCCAGAGGGCGTTTCTCTGTCAGCAGCGGAAGAAGCTATTGTTGGAATTCTTAGTTATTATTCAACAGTTAACGGTTCAAGAGTTCACAACACTAAAGTTACCGTGTGGAGGATCTGGCCACGAGTAACGTACGGAGCAACGCTCTCACACCAGTGGGTCCTGGTTTACATGGATGTTGTGCACGGAGTCGAGGTCACACACAGCAAAGAGATTCACGTTTCATGCTATTCCACCAATATGGAAGTAAAACACAAGGCTACGTATTAACGCAGCAGCTAAAGTAAGGAAGAAGAAAACTGAAAGTTAGTTAACATGAATATAAACAATGCAGAATTTAAAATACTTTTGAGGTCTACTTCTGGTGATGTTTTTGCATTAAAGTGATGAAGCGCCTCGACGCTCTTCAATGTGCTTCATTGGCCTAAACACACATTCCCATGTTGTTGTTGTTTTTATTTCTAAACAGCTTCTCTATCAAGTTTCCAGAAAATATACACATTATTTATTGTTATTCTGACATAAAACATCATCACACGATCACCTGTATTTCCATATAATTGGACTGCAGAGAGAGAGTTTCTCTGCAGTCCTTCTGCAGCTCTTACGGTGTGAGCTCAGCCCCACATCCTTATACCTGCATATTCAGGCTGAAATGGAGGTTCTCAGTGCAGGAAGGCCTGAATGAAGCTCAAGACTCCCAAAAACAAATAGAAGTGTTGAATGTACTTATGGGTGTGCACCCTCTCACAGCTAGAGAAGCAGATGAAGGACAGAACATGCTGTCACTGCCTTGAATCTGCTCTCAGCAGTGTAATCCATCACGGAGGGGCCACGCAGGGAGCCGTCTCTGTCCCCTTGTTCTCGCTCCATTGAGAGCCAGTGAAGCCGACATAGAGGAACGCTGAGCTGCAACCACCGGTCCACCTCGCACTCCCCTGCTCGGTCTCTCTCTCTCTTCCCGCTCAGTCATGCAGCTGCCAGGAATCCCAAACACACCTGGGCAGCCGGCCCGCCTGCTCGGAGCGGTCGGGACAAGTGCCGTCAAGGACTTACAAAGATGGCCGCATTCCTCGGCACACCGCAGTTACAGTCGGGCCATCGATCACAGGACGTCCGTAAAAACACATTGCATCATTAAGACATCATTACGGTCAAATCACACATCACTGAATCTCTGTGGTGGAGGAGGTTCTGGATGAAGGAATCTGAGACTCTGAAATATTGATGATTTTATTCTCCATTTCTGCATTATCATTTAATTAGGGGTCATTCTAATGTCTACTTAATCTAACTTGTATTATATCAGAACACCACGTCTTGGTCTCTTTTTCCTGTGAAAATATGCTTCTGCCCACATCGAGTGATGCATGCACTTGAAGCAGGCAGAAGTCTCAATGGCTGAATGGATAAAGAAAAGGACGCCACCTACAGAAACTGAATCAGCAGGACATCCAGGGGAAGATAGACCAGTTAAGGGAGACAACTGTCTGAGGACTTAAAGCCATTATGACCAGAAGCAGAAGCGGCTCATCTTCAGGTATATTGTTCCTGTTGTTTATCAGTTACAGTCTAAACTGAGTGTCACTATTTCATGTTGTCTCTGTGGCAATAGAGGCTGTAAAACTACAAAGCAATGACCTCTTTAAAGTGACACTAAAACAAGAACCGTATGATTATTACGCTTAAGTATAACTCTGGCTATAGTCGATATTTGTATTGGAACTACATCTCATAAAAAGACCAAATAGCACCAACTGAAGTCTTTAAAATACACCAGTATTGATCCCAGGCTGCATATTCGAGTAAACAACGTTGAGCGCGTTTCAAACATGATTCAAATGTCATTAAAATGTAAAATGAGGATGTGGTTTCCTCCTCTCGCTAAAGGTTTGCTTCCCACAATCCGTCTTAGATCTCTTCGTAGAAGCCAAACAAGCTCATTGCTTTGGAGAGAAGTGACCAGTTCATGAAAGATAAATAACACAATGCAGTCTCTTACTTTTCCAGCGCAGCCATGATGATGGGAGGGAGCATCAGGATGGGCATGGGTAGGACCACTCTGGTCAGAGCCGTTTCTACAAGAGCCTGTCACAAACAAAGAGACGCTTCGTAAACCAACAAAGCTGCAGCTGAAGATTTCACATCAGGTTTTTTATAAAGCTACGTACATGCCTGGCGGCCACTTTCGACGTTCCCACCACATTCCCGTTGTCGTCGAGCACGCTGATGCCCTCCGACAGCTCGGAGTGTCTCATGAGCACCACGTTGCAGACGTTTGCAGTCGCTGTCGGGAGGCGAGAAGGCTTTTAAAAATGAAAGTGAAGAGTCTCACCTTGAGGAAGTTGACATTCTTTATTAGCTCACAAATGAGGAAATTGTCTTTTCACTTTCCGGCTGAGGTTTAAGATCAGGCAGCCTGGAAAGTGTCGTTGGAGCAGGAAGAGGTTCAGTTCCTTGCTCAAGGGTACTGTGGTAGGCACTGCAAGAATGAGTGCTAACATCATCAGACTGGTTGAACAGGAACTTTATGGAAGGATGGAGAGGATGCATTTCTTTTCATGAGAATAATTTCAGAATTTCAGAAGTTTTTTGTTTCCTGCATTAATTATATAATTATTATAATTACCAAGATGAAGACAAAATATTCTCTGTTTTGAGTTGACCAACTACTTATTTCATTATCATGTGAAAACGGGTTTCACAGTTCAAAGAAGTTGTGCGGTTGTGATAACAAGTAGGCTGTTTCCTCAGATGTGCTGCACACATTCATCTTCTCCTCGGCATCTTTAATAACCTCAAGCAGCATCTTCACATCTTTTATTTTGTCCAACATGTTGGCTTGTGACCAAATAGCTTCAAAACAAATGGGTTTAGTGCTAATTAGCAAATGTTAGCATGCTAACACGCTGGTGAAAACAATGTAGCGCAATGACCGGTTCCTATTCTCCTGACCCTGAATTTTGCTTTGAAGCAAACAGGCGCAAAGCGAGTTCTTGGTGTTGTGTTGGAAAGACATTTTGTATCTTGTTGCTGAGAAACGACGTCTGAAGGCGTTTTTACATCATCGCAGAAAAACAGCTCGACAAAACATGTAGCGCTCTACTGCTAGCAACATTAGCTTTGTAGCTAAGGAGGCAAATCGCACCTGTTAAACACGAGCGTGCTATTGTTGTCATTGTGAGCATGTTGGCATTGTCATGATGTTAGCATGATGCTCAAAGTCTCACAGAGCTGCTAACCTGTAAACTTTATATTATGATCAGGACACAATATCCAAGAAATGAGCTTTGCCGATGTCCTCTCTTGCCTTCATTAGAAAATGATATCTTTTAGACATAAAAGACAATTTAAACTGTGATGAAAATATGGTACATTTTATGTCATTGAGTGTTCTTTTAGAAGTCAGTGCAGCTCTCCTGGCTCTACTCACTGAAAAGCCTTCATCACTAAGTCACGTGCGCCACAATCCACAAACTGAACGCTGAGCTTCTGTCTTAAGTCGGTCGAATCAGCAACGAGCAGCGTGACCAAGGTGACCGATGGGTCAGCACACAGCAGTTAACAGCAGTGTTGTCTGCCTGTGATTTATTCACGAGAGCCAAAGTGAACCCAAATGTATGTTAATACAGATGGACCTTTCTCCTTGACTCTAATAGGAATAAGAAAAAGTCATTTTAGAGAGTTTAGTGGTGTCGCCGCGAGCCTTTTTAATTTAAGACAACAGCGTTGGGAGTTATCTCTACGCGCGGCTGCAGGGCGCTCTGTGAGGGGAATTCAATTGACTGAGCAAACAGCTCTTTCTACCTACAAGGGATGTCTTTTTATTATCCGCACCAATTAACAGAGGGACAGACAGCGGGATTTTAGCAACGAATAACACAAACTACAGCAAACAGGTCAAACAAAAAAACTCAATTGTAACTAAATTAATAAAAGGCATCAAAGTAATTATAAAAGTGAATCAATTATTGCCAAGTCTGAGCAGCTCAATGCTTAAATATCTGGCTGTAATTTGTAACTATTTAAAATAATTACATTTATGTACATTCTAATTGCCGTCTAATACCTCGTGGTATACTGGGAATGCACTAAAGGACTTTCCACATAATTACGGAAATATTAATAATAATTAAATCATGATTAATACCTTCAAACGACAACAAATTATCCCCATACCTTTCTAGCGGCGTGTCTTTCCCTCCGGTTAAGGTCTTCATAATCTAATTGAATGACAGGCTGCCGCTTGATTAGGTTATTACAAATACATCTAGCCTTAAGTAAGCAAACAAAATGGAGCGGGGGAAAATCCAAACAGCACTTTACTTTCGCCTGCTTCAATTAGCCATTTTAATTACCTTATATATGGCCCGACCAAAACAACAACAGCAACAACAATGAACAAACATAAATCAGGTAGATGAGGCCTTGACATAGACGCCACTTTAGGGGTAATTATCCAATTTGTTTGCGGCAGCAGAGTTCTAACAAGCAGCCAATTACCAGGCAAAGGCTGCTCTGTAGAAACCTGTTGATTTAATTAAAAGAACCGCCATGGTAAGAGAGGGGGGGGGCAAACAATTTAATTATGAGCCAGCAGCATTCTGGGACACGGGTCTATACCCCTGGGTGTGTGTCTGCGGGTGAGTGGCATGAAAATCAGCTTTGAGGCTTCACACACGTCTGACAAAGAGAGCTCACAGCCCCGCAGGGAGGACGCACGGAGAGGAACGGAGTGGTTCTCACACGGCCAGTTATGATGATCACACAACAGCTTTAAAAAAGCTACTCGTCAACATTAAGGATAAGAAGGAGCTCATTCTCAATCTGAAGATTTATATTCGGTCTCAAGTTTTCTTTCATTTTTTACATCATGAAAACAGGAAGTAATTCTTTGCCCTGACTTTTCATCAGTTCATGACAAGATACCTCAAAAACACCAATGACCAAAGTCTTATATACACAGCATGCTAACATGCAGTAGTTCACATGCTAACCTAAAGCTAGGCTAACCCTGACTTCAGCACACTAAAGCAGTTTGCGCTTCAGCCATGAAATAACATTAGAAACGGACTTATTCACACATTTAAATAATTGAAAAAAACACAATAAAGTATTGACAGACAATTTCAAGCAGAAATGATGGAGGTTTTATCTGAAGCATGGAGAAGCTCTGGTCTCCTTATGAGCATTGAGTTCATTACTGTGAACTCAAACATACACTCATTCAGAACTGGGCTCCCCGTCCGTCCCGTTCAGTGAGCTCTTTGAACTTACCCACTGCTGGGAAGGGGATGAACCTCTGCACCAAGAGCCTGGTAGTTGGGCTGAAGCGACTGGCCTTCTGGATTAACAAGTTCAACCCGACCTGAAGGAAAACCAGACGCACACGATACATCAGCCACTGGCTGTGTGTTAGAAAGCCAAGGTACACAAATGGATTTACTATTTGAGTCTTTCAGCACTGACGCAAAGAACACGCATGCTTTTGTCAGAAACGGTATGATTAGGAGAGAAGTGAAGATAAAGAGTTAAATACAGAACTGTATGTGAACACCCTACAGAGTGCTGTAGTCAAGAAGCTAAGCTCTCAGATAACACCCCATCATGCTACTCCAGCCTCCGGCCCTCCCCGGGCCGGCGGGGGGTCGTCACCAGAGCGGACGTTTAATTGGAGAGCTCCAGCCCCCGCCCGTCGTTCCGCCCTCCAGACACCCCGCGGTTTTTTTTTTTCTGTGCTTGTTGACGTTGTGAAGCCTGAGAGCAGCAGCCGGGTGAGCGCCCAGCGGGACCAGTAATTGGCTCGGGTTGAGCCCTGCGTCCACACTGAGTGCTGAGTCAGGCAGGTGTGTGAACGCCTGTTACACTCGTTTGACATTCGAGTCTTTGATGACAAAAAAAGGTAAGAAAAAAAGGTTCAACTGATGAGGGTATTGTGATGGCTGGTATTCAAAGGTTTATGCTTGAATTTCGCCATTTTCCTGTCAAATCAATTGAAAATATTGGGTGTTTGACTCTAAAAATCTTTTCCTGTCAGGGTGGGAAACAATATTTCATTTTTAAATAACATGGTTATACCGGTATATCAAGACTCTTTATGTGGTTCAACTTGCAATCATCAATATCCTGCTGACATATTGGTCTGTCCCTGGTGTAACAGAAAGCGTGGATCAATAGGTGACTCAGCTATTGTTGCGCGATGACTTCGCCTCTTTGCAGTCACAGGGACCATTCAGTCAGAGCAGAAGCATTAAGGGAACTCACAGCAATGGACACCGCGCTGGTCACTGCACCGAGGTATCCCTGGAAGAATCTGGAAATTGGAGCCGGCTGCCGTGAAAAATGAGTCAAATTACAATATGAACACATTTCATGCAGCTCTGTGCGTCAAAATGGGACTGTGTCAACTACAGAACCTTGGAGGCGTTGCGGTTGCAGTAGTTCACGCAGGCATTGTGACTCTGGTTTAACCACTGTAGGAGGAGAAGAAGAGGAGCTTGTTAGTAGATGTGCTGATATTACTCTGTGATTACAGCTGCTACATTTAGCATTTACAACATTGTTAAGTCCCTGTCTGGTTAATTAATGTAAGCAAATGGGAATATATATGGAATACACAAATGCAGAAGTAAAACATAAAAATGCTCGTACAGCAGCAAAGAAACAAGTACACAATGTCCTCGTCCCTTCCACAACATGCCCACCACCTGCCTCCTCAGCTGTTCAGCTCCACTAGATATCCTAGTGAGTCCATAGTGGATGGTACACATATTTGAAGCTTAAAAGTCATTTCCTAGCATTTCCCCGAGCTTTCAACTGAACGTCACCGCCGTCTAAAGAGGAGAGAGACGCCGAACGTTCTGGAGAAAGCATGTAGTTGATCCCCGAGTTTAATGATTTTAAATATTACTGTAGAAATGAGACGATGACAGCCTTTGTCTCAAAGCAGCAGTATTTCTATTGGTTCATTTTAAAGAGCCAGTGTGCAGCATTTCCGGGGCAGAAAATGAATATAATATTCAGAACTTAGCTTTCATTTGTGTATAAACACCTGAAGCTGAAAATCATAGTGTTTCAGTGATCTCAGAGTGAGTCTCCAGAGGGAGCAGGTCCTCTTCAGTCGGACTTCTGCTCCTAAAGCAGTGTTGTTACGGTGAGACCGGCCTGTGAGCGAGGCCAACGGCACTTCCACTGCGTTTGATTACGTTACGTTCTCTTGAAAAGGGAAAGTGGAGTGAAGGGGGATTCAGTCACTGCTGGATGCCACTAAATCCTACACACTGTACGTGACATTGAAAAGATGTCTTGATAAGATCGATGAGGATTACAGGTCAAGAAGTCGGTCTTTACCTGCCAGAAGATCGTCGACACCAATGTTTGATTTGGTAGAAGGAGGCCAACAACCTGCACGAAGACACAATTACTAAATAATAGACTGTTAACAATAACAGATATCTTTAATATTCTTATGAAAGCGTACAATATGTGTGGATGACCTTCTATGAAGCCTTCTACATTTTAGAGTAATTACAAGAAATATGACGACTGGATTACATCACTGAAATACTGTATGAGGAGGAAGAGTCTTACCACTGGTGTGCCAAAGGGGATAAACCCTGTTAAAGAAAGAGTCTGTTCATCATCTTACATTCATAATGGTTCGCTTTTATTTTGAGGTTTTCTGTTGCCAGATTTAAAGATCTTTAGAAGCACACAGCTCTGGTTCTCTTCCCTTGTCTGTACAATAAGACTCTGATCTCTGCAGAGCTTGGGTCCAGGACTATTCATCAAATTCTCCTGCCTCCTTCCTTCTCTCTCCTCCCTCTCCGTGACACTTCAAAACTGCCCTGCAGAAAAAAGGTGCTTTGGGACCGGACCAGAATACTTGTGTTTGCTTCTTCCAAGAGCTTCGAGAACTTCCCCGTCACCGTGGGAGAGAGGTTTTAATCAGCGCCCAGCTGAGCGTGACCTTTTTCAGGCCCGAGACAACCTGAAGTCCCCCGTTGAGCCGTGACAGTTCCCAGGGTGAACGAGGCCGCCGTGTTGGACCACATAACAAGCCCCTAGATCCCACTTCCCCCGAGGCTTCCACACCAAGCCACTGTACCTGACATCCGAAAGGGCATGAGGACCTTCTCCCCCGTGTCAGGGTGGATGATGGCCTGTAGAAAGAGCAGAGTTATTAGTATCACACGATGATGAGCACTGATTTGGGTTAATTCAGTTCAAATTCATCAGGAAGAGAGTTTTGCTGCGAGCTTGGAGCAACAAAGGATTATACTTCACTTACTTATTAGTTCATCGTTTTCATCCCTTCAATGTGAACATCTAGATATTGGGCAACTTTCTAAAAAGTATTACAGTTCCCTCGCATGAAATGAATTGTATTGTGTGTTGATGTACTTAGTATCAGTGCGTCTCAATGCATTAAGGCATGAAGTGACAACTTGTGATCAGGTTCACGTTGGAGTTTATTTGGAGGGTTCATGGGTGGAGCTGATGGGGGCCTTCTTGGTTCTGCATACTCGTACTGTGTAGGACCCAGTGACACGTCATCGTAGTCGGGGACTATACTTCAATATGTGGTCCAACACATTCCAGCATAATCATCTTTAACTCCTAGTGCATGCTGGGGGAGATGTGGGTGTATTTGCATCAGTATTTAGAGCTTATAATCAGATCATGCAACAATAACATAAGCTAAAGCTATAAAGAGCACAGAACTCAATTTCATACTCTGTTAAAAGACAACTCAGTTAAAAACATAATCATTTAAAATCATTATGTTTTCTTTAGATGAGTCATAAACACCAGCTTTATAACTGTTGCTGTTTACATGTTACTGTCAATCATTTTCTGTTGCTTTGACTAACTGCACCTGCAGTTCAGTGAGTCACACGTCTGTGGAAGCTCTTACTGCTCATGAGCACTGGACTTAACGCCACTTCAGCGTCTGAGTCATTTCTATAACTTCATCATTAAAGCCTGTTTTTAATGTTGCGTTTTTCAGTTTGTTGTCCAATCTACGGTATGTTTGTTAACCTTTACTATGAATATAAAAACAACACACCGCCTCCCATGAGGACTCCTCAACATGCGGACACAGTAGGAGCTGAGGACCAAACCACCAAACTGATGGTTAAAGAGCGACACGCTCTTCGCACTGAGCCACAGTCTTCCTCATCATGTTTGGGATGTTTTGACGTTAGGTTTAAAGTCTGGTATAAGTTTTGTTGGCCAATCCACGACAGCATAACAACCAGGGAAGATAGAAGATTGTAGAAGATGTGTACGTTAGTGAGAAGAGAGACAAGAAGGGAATGAATGAGAGAGAAACATCTTACCTGCTTTATTTTCTGAGCTTGCCAAAGCTGTAGAAACAAATAAACATCTTTCATGGGAAGAAAAACTTTCACTTGTAAGCACCAACCTTTAAATGCTTCACAAACACCTGGTTCTTTAACCCTTCTGTCGACCAATCAACACGCTTTGATTAATGTTAATGTCAACTCAAGTTGTTGTGTCTTCACCTGAGCATCTGTCACTCCCGCCGGCAGAGTTCCTTGTTTGAAGCGGTCGAGCAGCTCCACAGACTCCTGCAGACGTTTCTGATGAGACCAGACAGATAGAAGTCAGTAAAAGGTGAGGGAGGGAGGAGGTCTGTCCTGGAGGCTGAGAGCTGTTTCTTTATATTCTACTCTTGAAGCCACACGGCTCAATGCATGATAATCGTGTTTCACTAAAACTTTCATGCTGATTTGCAGTTGACAAATGAGTTTCCTGAAGAGTACTGAGCAGCTTACTGTGGAGTGATCGTTGTCTAATGCTGAGCCAAATACAAGATCATGTGGCCCAATTTGTTCTAATGATCTTGCCATCTGTATGTGTGTGTGTGTGTGTGTGTGTGTGTGTACGTGCACGTTCCTTTCCCCACATTTGTGTGCGTTAGTGTTAGGTGTGCACTTTTGCCTGTGCGCACATGAGATTGTGTGTGTGTGTGCGCGATCGTATGCAAAATCATGGCCATCCTTGTTCCACTCTCGTCATTAGGGGCAAGTTAGGGCTACGCCTGGCTCAGCAGGGTGTGTGTGTGTGTGTGAGCGTACACACTCTCCACCCCTCACAGCTGCCCCACATGTCCACACCTCATCACATCCCAGGAGCCACTGCCGCTATTACTGTCACCAAAGAGCTCGCTAACAGCTTCATTACCCAGAGCACCAGAGCACTGATGACTCCATGAACAAACTGACCAAAACACAACAAAGACCTGGAGGAATATGAGGACAGAAAGACCAGAGAAGGCGGCGTCCGTGGCCAGAAGAGGTCCGATCTCAGCTGTGCTCCCGGTTACAGAGAATCCTTAAGTGTGTTAACAAATCACTCAAGTTAAAATGGACATTTTAGGAATTGAATTACTCCGTCAAATCCATTGTCTTTAAGGTTCCCTTCCATCATCTCTGGACAGTAAATACTGGCTCTGTGTTCTTTCATGCTTCATTACTGTGCTCTCTTCTCTTACTGGATTAAAACTGGAGTTTTGCCAGTTTCCCAGACCTCCGTGTTAAAATTGCTTTACCGTGATGGCATCTTTATATGCGGCATTACAGAACCCTTAGTAGAACTTTATGTTTCTTCATAGTTTCTGTATTTTGTAGTTCTGTTATTCAGTTGTTTCTAGTACTTGTAGTTCTATCACTGCTAGCTCTACTCGGACGCACATCTACTGCACGTCTGTCTGTGCTGGACGAGACATCTCTCCTCTGTTCTGTACTCTGAGGTTTCTCCTGTTTCTTTGTTTTAGATCAGAGGACAGAGGGTCTGTGTGATGTACAAATGGTAAAGTCATCTAATGACAAACTTGTGACTAAATAAACTTCACTATTTTAAAAGTCATACTCCCAAAGTCTGCAGCTATCTCCCTACAATCCCTCAAATGTGAAGCACAAGATAGCTATGGATCAGAAGAGCAGCACTCTGATGAACTGAGAACCTCCAGAGCAGAAGAGACCTCTTCCTGAATGTGTCAATAAAGCCAGGGTTGGTCATCTTCTTCAGAAACATTACTGTTACAACTTTAACTTAAAAACAGATGAGACTATGATTCATCAGACCAAATCCATATAATAAATGAGTTTGTGTACCTCTGTCACGAAGAGTGTGCTGGGGTCAATCACGTCCAGGAAGTGCCTGAACCGACCAAAGAATGTGTTCTAAGAGAAGGAGAAGAAAATACATCATACAAACAATATCTATTACCTAAACATCATTAACAGCGAGACATAAACCAAAGATATTTAATGCAAAGTGTGGTCTTTAAGTCTGTGTTTTCAATGTGTATTCACTGGAATACTGGAGTCGGGAACGTTTGGGAAACCTTTCTCTCCACTATACAGGACAAATAGAATGCTGAAATAAGCAGGCTGACTCTGGATTGTGCCTTTGAGCAAAGAGAGGCAGAGATTCCAGCTGTCAGCCAGTAAACAGTGGTTTTACAGCGCGCCAGCTGTTCCAACACACCAGGTGGAGCTGCCTCATTAAGACCTCAGACAAACTCTTTCCTATCTGCATCTTTTCGGGACCCGAATCCACTCACACTATTTGCAATTAATTTCTATAATGACTGTGCCAGAAATACCTTTCCATCATTTATTCATAACCGAGCATAAGGAATAATTTCGGAGATAAAGCAACACACCACGCAGCACCGAGAGGCCCCCGCCCTCCCTCCCCGAACTTCAATTTAATTACACTAACTGCTAATTTGAATGAAAGTCTGGTATCTGACTCACTGCTGTGCCTCGTGACACCCTGAACATATGGACGGTTGGTAAAAACACGGCATGAGGGAATAGTTTCTTATCTTTTTAATTAAATTATTCACCAGTGCCACTCCAACTTGACCAGTCTGAGCCAACACTGGTGAGCAGTGGGAGAGAGGGGACATGTCTTACCTGAGCTCATCGGTGTGACGCTGTATTCTGTGACCCGTCAGATGATGTAACCTGATCTAGATCAGGTTAATAATAGTCACTGGTCATCCTACGTCCTATAGAAATACTACATTTCAGAGTAACACTGATCACGCTCATGTACATTAATATTTTTGGTCTAATATTTGTGCATTTTATTATTGATCATGAATGTGTTTTATGTTTTGAACACGTGTTAATTTCACAGTCTATGCCATGAATATATCAATGCACTACTTTCATATTTTTAAGAGGAAACTTAAAATTATATGCAAACAACTCTCACTTAACAATGCAAATACTGCAAAGGTCTGGAGCTCCAGCATTTATTTATGTAATGTATTTATCATTGGCTTATTATAGTATTTACAATCAAAGGGTTGCTTAAAATTGCACTTTCATAAAGTTATGACAGGTAATCCGAGGTTTTTTAATAAAAGGTATTTAAGGTATTCTATACTATTAATGATGCTGCATCACACTTAATGGTGCGGAGACATTATCAATTTCACTTGTGCTTTTCCTACTACATGACAACATCACCTTCCCTTAATAAGGTCCATTTGAATCCTTTTGATAAACTGATGGAAGAAATCATTAAGTTTATAACAATTAAAATTCGACAGAAAAATCACAAAATTTGGAGAAATATAGTGGAGTAAAAAGTACAAGATCTGCCTGTGAGATATGGTGGAATAGAAGCATAAAGGTGCTTAAAATGGAAATACTCAAGTAGAGTACAAGTACCTCGAATGTTTACTAAGTTACTCGAGTAGTCACACGTTATATGAGACCTAAAGTAAATCTGAGTCAGTATAAGCCTCAACATACTCAGAAGAAAAGCGTGCGTGTGCGTGCGTGCGCGCGCGTGTGCGTGTAGAATGCTCCATGTTGACAGTCCGGTCAGAGTCCAGAGTAAGTGAACATTGACCATAAGCTCGATCACTGCCGAGCTTTCAACGTGCACGTTTTAAGAGTTACAGCACTAGTTTGCAGGAGCTGGAGCTCCACAAACTAGTGCTTCACACTCGGATGTGTACAAGTCTGTTGAACGAAAGACAAACAAACAAGCCTGGTGCTTGAAGTGTGCACATATGAAGTAAAGTGGCAAACTTTCACCAAAGAGTTGTGTTTAAAGATAAAAGTACCTGGTCGAAACGTGGCTTGCCATGCTGGAATGTGACATATTCAGACATGCTGCTGCACAGAAACAACACACATCTACAGCAGCGCGCTTCTGCTGCACGATAGCTCACCACTTCATGAAACTACAAGCTGTCGAGCTGTTCATGCAGCGTTTAGCCGTTCAGTGGCCAGGTTGCATTAGGGGTAATGTAGTTTTTCCGGGCTGCATTGCGCAACAGGATGTGGTTTGAACATTTGTTTAGCGGACTACACTTCCCAGCGGAACACGCTTTGTTGACGGTGTTTTAAAAGAGAAGTCAAGGCGTTAAGCGTCAGTCTGGAGCGCAGCAGACTGAAAGAGACGTTCTGAGTTATATCGGTGGAAGCACTGAAGGAAGGCGTTTGGGTTTAAAGAGTAGAACATAGCCCTCTAGTGGTGCTTCTGGATTAAAGTCAGTAGTAGTACAATGTGCAGGGGTTGGACAAATTAAGATGAACCCCTCACATTCATGACAGTTATAGTATGTGTAGTATTTATTTGGAAATGATGCATTACTCCCTGGAATATGGGGGCTTTTAATGTCGGGGGAGTTACATCCTATAAACACCTAATAAAACCTCAACATGTATGATGGGAGACACATGCTGGTGCTCTTACTTTAAGAATGAACAGTATATTTAGCCTTACATAGAGCACATGAGTTCACCCTATCCTGTGTGTGAATACACGGTGACTGTAGATACGTCACTTAAAAAACAAGGTACATTTTAAGTATTAAATACTGTTTTCACAAGTTATATTAGATGTAAGAAAAGCAGCTACAAAACTGGGTACGGGTTGCAGCTTCCATTACATTAAAGTGCTCGGTTTGGTTATCATTTTATCAAATGTGTTTCTGTTAAGATGTCGAAAACAGAATTATAAATAACATTTAAAACATCTGTACATCTGTTTTTGCTAATACGAAGAAGAAGAAAAAAGAGCAAACTATCAGAAACACAAACCCTAAATGCAAATCCACTGTAAACAAAGAAAGACACAAACACACCCCAAAGAAAGATTTACAACCAAACATACGGTGAGCAAGAAACACAAAATATTCTTTATTAAATATACAAAATTTGTGAAACAGAATTGCGTCACGAATTGTAAACTTTCCAATCTCACATACTACCTTAAGCACATTCCACCGGCTACATACTCAGAATACAAACAGTTTAAAATCAAATGAAAATGGAAGACATGGACGCTTATTCCTGCGCTTCATAAGTGCCGAGTCACATTTAAATATGTCTCTACAGTCGTCTATGCACTTGGTATTGCGATCGCACCGCAGAACAGAGATGACGAGATGGTCGTGATTGCTGGAAGCTCACTGGCAAATCATCGCTGTGGTGTCGAAGTAGCTTAGATCAAAGCTTAAATCACAGAGCGATTAGAAAGTGCAGTAGGGTGTAAAGTAGACCTAACTATACCGATATCAACAGACGGGTACAGCAAAGTTATGTTCTGACGATTAAGTAGTGCAAGAACATCCACAAACGCTGTTTAAAGTGGCATCACATCAGAATACCTTGTGGTGAATCGATCCGCTCCATAGATTAAGTTTCAAGGCTTTTTTTTTTGGCATTTCACAGGAAATCACTGTTACTGCTCATTTTCTATTGGTATGCATACAATTCAGTTTTGTGCAGTGATCTAAACAATATCAAAACAAAGCATCAGAAGAAGTAAAAAAAAAAAAAAAAGGAGTGAACTCTCTCTCAGTGAACAGATGGCTTCTCCTCTTCACAAACCTGCCTCCAGCCCCGACAAGTCAGATGAAGTGCGAGATTCTTGACCAACGTCAAAACAAAAACAAAAATAAGGCAGCATTTGGCATTTCAACACGGCATATATATATGCTGTAAAATGCGGTATATATCCCTTTGTAACACCTGAAAGCAGGAGCGATGTGCGTGCTTGAGCAGAAGCGGATGTGACACACGGACACCGAGGGAGGGGGGAGTCAAGAAGCGGCACGTTAGCAGGCATTTTGTCAGCAGTGGCGCTGTGTTGATAGGAAGGCAGAAGCAGGAGATCAGAGGAGCTGTGATGGCTGATCGTGATACTGTCTTCACCTGATAACACATACCCATAGAAGAATCAGTTAGCTTATGTGGCTGAGCATTATGGGTAGTTTCAAGACATGCCCAAAGAACAGAACGAAGAAAAAAGGCAGGAGGAGGAGGAGGAGGGGGGAGGCAGAGCAAGCAAAAGATAAACGGCCCTTATCGTGCGTATGAAAGAAAACCATTCACTTGCTGGCTAAGAACACTTTTGAACATTCAGATGCTACAATCCAGTTCCCAGTAATGTGCACGCGACAGGGCTGACCCCTCGCACCAAAAACACGAGTCAGAGCTCTCGAGATTCATTTGGGAACATTTGTAGAGTGTCAATCCAAAACAACAGAGACACCAGGAGGAAGGAGGCGTAAGTCATTAAATACATTACTGTATTAGAAACATACGAGTGGTTTGGCATGAATTCACCTCATTAAACAAATATTGCATACGCTATAAAATAATGAGACTATTTTCCAAAGCGTACTTGAAGATTATTGATACATTTCCTTCCTTCCAAGCAGCCATTGGTTTCAGATCATTTCAGGAATATCTCGACGGTTATTCGCTACACGAGAAGATTCGACTCTCAAATCTGTACTCCAAGTACGGATCATTAACCGGGAGGCGATTAGCTTAGCTTAGCATTAAGACTGAAAACAGGGGGGGAACAGTTAGCCTGGCTCTGTCCAAATTTTAAAAAACGTTGACGATAAACATGCACTAAGTTGTTCCTGGAGTTCTTGGGATTTTGAACTGTTGGTCCGACAAAACAGGAAATCTGAAGACGTCACCTCAAGTGAATAATCCATTAATCAAGAAGATAATCTGCAGATTAATTGAAAATGAAAATAACAAAATTTGCAGACCGACAGGCTGGTGACAGCGATGTCCTCTGGTAACTGAACCTCTGCATCACTTCCTTCAGAACACAACTATGAAATAAAAGCAAGTGGTCACGGATAGATCTTTAGTCTTGAGCAGGTTTCAAGTCTCTGCAAGTTGAGCGTCATGCTGCATTGAAACGGAGCTAAACCAATGGCTGCCTCCAAGGTATAGAATCAATCTAAAGCCTGACGGTATGCTGCAGAAGTGGCCAGCATTGATTTAAAGTATGCAATTTGTAGTCAATGGTCTGAAACATGCAAAAGCACCAGAGCGGCCCTCCAAGTCGTTCGCTCTCCTTTCTGGACTGCAACACTTTCTAAAGAATGCTTTTGAAGAAGCGGTGCGAGGAGTGAGTTGGATATTCAGTGTTGTGGACTGACACTCGACCATTTCTCTTGTGATAAGGTGATAGAAGTGAGGTGAGGTGAGAAGGAGGAATCACTGTTTCCACAATTAGGAAATGGAAGCATCTCAAAACCAACTGGCTGTGTGGACCTGAAAACAACCTGAGGACCCGCTACATTCAGAACCGCCCGAACCAAAGCCTTCAACGAGGACGCGCTTCAGCACAGATAAGCATGCCGGCTGGAAAACATGGCCTCGACATCTCTCTCAGTGCCGACATGTTTGTATCAAAAAGGACAGCATAGCAGTGAAAAGACTAAAGAGCTGTTGTGGAGGACGGAGTGAACCGAGCCGAGGAAAACCTTTTCCTGCCACTCCGTCACTTTAACTTGGAGCGCACTTGCAGGAGAGTGGGCTTCTGCTCCATGATGCTCACCAGCAGCGTGTCAATGTAGTCCTCCAGGTCTTTGACCTGCGGCTTCAACTTCCTCAGCTCCACCTCCCGCTTAGCCAGCATAAGTTTCTGACGCTCAAACTCCGCCTTCTGCCTCTCCAGGTCGGCCTCCCGCTGCACCAGCAGGGCGACCAGTTCACGGTGGTTCAGGTGGTAGTACGAGCCCGCTCCCTCAGTCACGGACTGAAGGCAGAGACAGACAGACAGGAAGAGGAATGAGAGTGTAACAAAGATAAGAGTGGCGTCACGTCTCCTCAGTGGATTTCCTGTTGATTCAATTGAGTTTGTCTGTTCAGCTATATTGGCGTTTGCTGCTCATGCTAATTATCATTTAAATACATGTAACTCTGTGCTCCTGAGGATTCATCCCAAGAAAGATGGTTTCCAACAGGAAATGCAAACTCATTCATGAACAGGGCTGATTTCTAACCTCTAGGCCATTTCTGCCTTTTGTTAGTACTTAAAACAGATCAGGTGTCATTTAGATAATGTATATGAATTTAGTATAGTAATAATATAGTTTTTTTGTAGTGTAATTTAAAATGCAGTTTGAAATTGTACATAAACTAAACACAAGTCATGATCATTAAATCTCACAACACATAGTTCCTGTTGTTTGCCTCTGAAGGGCAGCATGTTTCACATTATTAATACAATAACTCACCGTTACCTTCTTCCTGTCCGTCTCCTGCTCGCTAAGCTGGCTGAGCTGGCTGCTCCTCCCCGGGTGGATGGTGGACTTGAGCTTCTCCAGGCCGGTGGCCAGCACTGACCGGCCCTCAGTCCGCTTCTCGTCAGCCGGTGTGGCAGTACTCAGGGGCTTCACTGGGTGGGGGCTGGAGGGGACGACAACAAGCAGCACACACAGTATAGGGTCAGGTGTCCCTCCTCCGGGGCTTCTGGGTTTACATTGAAGACTCTGGTGGTCGTACTGGAGGTCCAAAGCTCCTCATGATTCATGGTGAAAAAAGCCAATTATCTTTCAGCCACGTGTCTGAAATTAGCATCTAAAACTAATTTAACTAAGAGGACTTGAATTTACAGTTTGTGATTTTCAGAGTAAAATCCTTGAAATGGCCGATTAAACAGTTTTAGCTCAAATAAAACTCAACATGCTTGTGGCTGTGGGTGATAGAAGGCTTCTTTTAATTAATTAACGATATAATACTTTTAGGTGTTACTTACAATCGGTGCCAATTAGCATTTAAATGTATTAAAATACCACCAAACTACCAGCATGTTTTCTCATTAATTAGGTTCAAACTCAAATGTGCAGAGATTCACAACCTTGGCTAAAGGACGTTTCAGGGACTCCAAGATAACTCTGAGGGGTCTCAAGATCATAAAAATGGATAAAAATACTTTAACTTAACTTCTTCTGACTTTTCTCAAATGTTTGTTTATTTTCTTTGTGAAACAATAGATTCTTTCACTTCATCGTCCTTCAAATGAAACGATGTGAGAAAAAACAAATCACTCTTTAGTTCAAATGTTGTCTCACTATTAAATGATTAAACTAAATTAAATGAATTTGTTTGCTGGTTCGAGTTTCGAAGACAAACAACCAGAAACTAGCTCTCTGTTCAGGTCAACTCTACAATAACACGAAGACAGTTTCCTGTGTCAGTGACCTACATTTAACAAGGAAACATAGCATCTATCAGAGCGCTTCACTACTTACTGCAGTGACTTGCACTCATACACCCAGCTAGTGTAGCTTTAGCCATTATTAGAGCACAACACATTGGACCTCCAGGCAGACCTGGATGCTGCAGATCAACCTTTTTAAAATCCCCAGAAAGAGTAAAAGGAGGTTAGACGTGTGTAAGAGCCCTCGTTAAAAGGAAATACTGGTGAAAATTGAAAGACTTAATTGCATGCGTTGGTGCAATCAAACATGTAGAATTGTGTTAAATATGTTATTACCCCAAGGTGAAAAGGAAATGCTATCAGTGACACAACAACACCTTCTTTGCCTGGTTTCTGGTTGAGATTTTGGCAAACAGTGTGGCTGTGTGAGAACACTAGTTGGCCCTGTTGGGAGGGGCCGTTAGTGAGTGTGTGTGTGTGTGTGTGTGTGTGTGTGTGTGTTGGGAGGAAGGGGTGTCTGGTAGGATTCAGGGCAAAATAATAACTGCTAATTGGCCTGAGGCTCTGTTTCCCTTCCCGCTACCACAGAGCCAGGACACACACAAGACACCTGCAGAGAAGTCCTGTTAACACCAGTATATACCGTGTGTGTGCGTGTGTGTGTTATCAAAGTGATGAAAAAGAGAAGGTCACACCACGAAGGAGAATCCCCTCGAGAGTCTGCTGCACAAAATAAAAGCAGGCGGAAGCAGAGCGGCAGAGGGAGACTGAAGAGTCGACAGGATAGACATTTCTGGAAGTGCGGAAAAAGTGCTTCCTGTCCACCGAGCACCGAGCATGTGCAACCTCACCTGTTCTGCTGATTGGCTGCCTGCTGCTGCCGAGGCGGCGGAGGCGGCGTCTCCTGAAGCATTGGCTTTGGCGCCGCAGCTCGCGCCGTGCTGGGTGGTGACCTCGCCGCAGCGTTGGCAAGAAGCGGGAGGGAACAGAGCGCGAAAGGGGAGCTATTGCTTTGAGGAGTTAGACAGGGAGCAAAGGAGGTCAGAGAGGGGAGGTGAGGGCCAGGCTGAGCCGAGGAGGACTCTTGTATCGCACCGGGATCGCTCGCAAAGGAGGGCAGGAGGAGGAGTTCGTCAAAGGCAGGTGTCAGTGTGCCTTCAGAGTGGGAGCGGTGTAGCGTAGCACTTTGTGGCTCGGGACTCAGCGACAACACGTGCTGACTTTCCACACCTCCCTCGTTGAGCTTCCTTAGATCAAAGCTCGCGTAAGAGTCCGTAGATGCCGCGGGGAGGAAACCGAAGTCATCCGCCATCATGAAACTTGACTCGAGAGTCGCCGTCTTGTCCTCAGCTCCGCAGACGGATCCTCCAGATCGGTCGTTCTGTTTGATTTCTTCGTCACGCGGCTTGCATTCATTGGTGGAATCTTCTTGGCCCAAAGCAGCCTCAGCAGTTGTATGCGTGTCATTCAGCTCGCCGCAGAGCGTCAAGTTCGCAGAGTGCAGCGTCGCGTTTGGCTCCGAGCCGCTGGAGGTTTGGTAATCCTGCGAGTCTGTGCTGACAGAGAGGCTTGGGAAAAAGCTGCTGGTGCTCTGAGTGGACAACCGGGTGTGCAACAGCGCGTCCTCAAAGTCTCGGCTGGGACCGTTCGCAATGTGACTGGCATTGAGGAAATCGCCAAGAAGCCCGAATGGTATTGGGGAACGCTGGCTTGCATCCTGCCCTCCTACATCTGTGCTCTCAATGGGCGAGTCCAACAAACTCCGCCTCACATCAGGGGAGGAGGTTATGATGTGTACTGATGGGTGTGTGAAGTAGAGTTTCTCATCTGGAATCGTAAAAGTCATCATATCCGTAGTGTCGCATACAGATACAGAGGAATCATTTAACACTGTGCAGACATCCTGCAGACCTTCACCTGTGGATTTCTCTCCGTTTTCGTTGTCAGACTGTAGAGATTCTTTGGATTCCGGCTGCATTTCTGGTAACAAGTCAGTGCTTGAAAGGTTTGGTGACTGAGTACCAGCGTCCTCACTTGCATTGATCACCGGCTGCTGATGCGTAAGCACTGGGGACTGCTGTGCCAATGACCGCTCTAAACCGCTGAGATCTGCCTCTTCATCAGCGTCACCGTGCTGAATAACAGTGTGCTGAGCTACATCGGCTAAAGACAGATCAGTGGACCTGTCGGTCATGTCATCTTCTGATTCTGAGTGCTTTACAACAGATGAATCAGAGGATTTCTCAAAGCAGAGGATGTTGCTTTCAAAGTGCTGTGCCTCGGCTTCCTCGGAGGAGGATGCAGAGTATTTGTCTGTATAAGACGAGAGGCAGGAGAGGAAATCCTCTTCTGCTTCTGAACTGCCGATACCCGAAGAACCGGGATCTGGGGAGCTGCTGTTGAGCTTTACAAAGGGGGAGTGACAGGGGGCCTGGTGCCCATTAGTGTCGGTTAAATCGTTTGCGTTAGTAGCGCTGTTAGCTTGATTAGTTTCAGCATCCAGTTCTGATGTGTTACTCAAAGGGATGTTGTCAATCTCAAAGCTTGCGTGCTCCGGGATTGTCTCGAGGAATTGTGCAAATGTGTCAAAATGACTTGTGCCGGTTGCCTGGCCGAGGGCTTTTTGTGCATCGGATGCAAATCCCGTGCAAGGTTGGCGATGTAGTGTGTCGTTTGGATCCGTTATAGGTAGTGATACTCCTTTATCAGCGCAGTGTTCCAGTGGATGATCGCCGGGTGTGTTCTGCTGTGTTTTGCAGTCTGTGGTTAGATCCTCAGGAGACTGCAGCCTGCCAGCTGCAAACGCTTCAAAGGATTCGTCCCACTCTGAGTCCGGGTTCAGCTCCACGGCACACACAAAAGGGCCAGGCAACGTCATGCTTAAAGGTTTCTCCCCTTCAAGAGGTCGTTCCCCAGCTTCGCTCTTTGCAACCGTACCGGTGATGGCGTCCTCTGTGGGCGGGTTGTCGTGAGTCAGGGTGGGGTTACCCGCCTGCGGAAAGAGTTGAGCTATGGGGGGCCGGGAACTGGAGAGATAGGGCAGAGGAGGCAGCGAAGGTTTTAGGGGCTGAGGGGTTAGCGGGTCGTCATAGAAAGGATTGTGCTGGAGGACAGAGAAGAAAGGGTTGCAGGGGGTTATGGGAGGCGGTGGGGTCTGTGAGTGGGAGAAAGGGTTAGTGTGATGCAGCAGGGAAACCGGAGGGGCGGGATCTACGGGGGGACCCGGGGGGTGGTGACTGGGTGGTGGGTGGGGGTCAGTGCTGGGTTCTAGTTTAGGTGACACCACCAGGCTGTGAAAGGAAGGGCACACAGTCCTCTTGATTAGTGTGGATAGTTCACACAGCTCAACCTCAGGCCTGCAGGAGGCTTTTCTGTCTCAAGTCACATCGTAATCACACATTTTAACAGAGTCGCTCTTGTTTAACACAATTTATTCACAATGTTTTGCCCTTTTTATTCCTTTTAAACCCTGTTTTAAATCATGACCTGGAAAACACCTTTAAACCTGCAGTCATTGTTTGGCCACTTGAGGGCAGCGCAACAAGCTGTGAACACAGCTTTGGCTTTTCGTACCTTTCATAGTGAATATGATAGAAAAGAGTTGTTAGTGTGAACGTCCAGCAGACGCACAGTCCGACATTCACTTGTTTTTAGCTCCATTTTTGGAAATATCAGCAGTTACATGCTCCACTATGGTCTCCAACTGTCGGTCTGCTGTTTGGTGCTTTTTCACTGAAGCTGCAGGCTGAAAAACCAAAACAATGAGCTGGAAGACACTAAAGCGCTCCATAGAGTCTGAGGGGAACTTATGACTCTCAAACAAGCTGTGGATTCATCACTACTAGTGACCACATCACAGGTAGTCATTTCATCTATTGTTGATATGAAATATTGATTAGTGCAACTTTAAAGCCTCTATGTATCACACGATGCTCGCTGCTGAGATGAATGGGCTGAAATCAACACTAAACTACACTCATGTTCCCCAGGATGTTCTATTAAAACTAAATCTGGCTGTCGCATGAAACGTCTCATCGTGGCTTTAACAGCAACTGATGTGCAAACGTTAACAATCAAACATTGCATATTAAATATTTAAATCAATCAAACTAAAAAACTAAAACTCTGCCTCTCGTGTGTTTTCCGTGGCCCGTGATGTAACATTTAGCAAGAAGTGCTGCTGGTGCCAACGTGGCAACTTTCCCCAAGGATATAAAGGCATGTGGGTGTGTAGGCGGTGGAAACGTATAGTTACAGAGCTGGCAGAGAGGTATCGAGTGTACTATGGTCCAGAATAGCTGACCTGGCCTCAATCAGCAGGCGCTTATCGGGCCAATATTGTGTTTACGCTCAGTGTTGTTTCTATAAACATTACGATACCTGCGGCTCTTTGGTCTCGGTCGGGTAAATGGATGGTAAAGGGTTCCTATAGAGCTGAATTAAAGATGACTTCTTATATAAGACAAACTGCAGGAGTGATGCATCAACACGTCAGTGAGCAGCAGAGAGTACAGTACAGCAGGTGACACCCTCCAGATAAATTACCCACGAAAGAATGGGCTTGTGTTCCAAGTGGAAATAAAATTAGATGGGGTTTTCTTGCCTCCCCTTTCTCTGCCCACACACACACCACAAATGCATAGACGAAACACACACACACACACACACACACACACAAAATCTGTAAGAGAACAAATATTATTCCAGCTCGCATCGTCATCTTTCCATTGAAATTGACATCATCGCTGAACCATGCAACGAGGCTTCAGCTTGATGGAGCTAATTTCACCAGAGCGGCTCCCCTCCTCCTCTGCATTGCAGATACCTGCTGTAACCAGAGACTGAGACCAGGAGCGGAGGAGGGATGTGTGCAGCGCTGGAGGCGACGTCCAGCCGCCATGCTGGTGCACAGGAAGTTAAAAGTGAACAACTACTCTGATGATTTGAAAATGTAACCCTCTTGTGTTGACTCCAATGTAACCTTCTCTAAGTCATGTTGGATATTCTTTACTTGAACCTCTAAACAGCTAAGATATCATGTGACCTATGAAACAGTAAATACTACCTTTTAAAGGAATATCACAACATTTAGGGGAACAGGCTTATCTTTGGAGAGAGCAAAGAGTAGATGATACCGCCCTCATGTCGGCGCGTTACATAGCTGGAGCTAGGAAGCTATTAGCTTAGCATAAAGACTGGAAACGGGGGGAAACAGCTAGTCTGACTCTGTCCAAAGTATAATACAATAAAACTGAGAGATAATTCTTCTTTCAATGAAATCCTATAGAGAGACATCCTGATGCACAATTACATCGCCTAAGTTGATAATAACAAGCACATTCTAACTCAAATCTTTCAGAAAATCGTACTATTTTGAACTAAATTTAATGAGAAAATACTCAAGAACAAAGAAAACCATGTGGCTATATGAAATAGCCACATGGTCATATATATATGACCATGTGGCTATCACTATATATAGTGATAGAAGATCTACCTACTGACTCAAGGCACTCCCACTTGGCACTAAAGGGAGAATTACTCGCTTTAACTATTTGTTAATGGAGCAACAGTTGGGCGCAGTGACTTCCTGGAGTGTTGTCCTCACAGTGAGGTTGCCAGGTTTGGTTGTACCTTTGTGTCTGTGCAGAAACCATTGTGCTCACCGGACGCATCTGGCAACCATTTCGAAAAGACATGATAATTACTTGGTGTTGGTGGTTACCTACTGACTCCGTACTTCGACATGAGTGGTATCGATCTTTTAATGTAACCCTCAGAAAGATGGCACACAAGCATGTTTATGCCAAATAAAAAGTAAGAGTCACCTGCAATAAAACACCTCAGTCTGTGACTTACGATGCAAAGAAATCTAAACCGTGCAGCTACTTCTGTCCTAATTCAATCCACGTTCATCTTGAAATGATAATTCATCACGTTGTAACACATCAGTGTGTGTTCAGTTGTCTCTGCAATCGCAGTGTGTATCTCACCTGGGTTTGCTGTGCGAGTCCTTTGATCCAAACCATCCCTTGTGTTTCTCCTCGGCGGCAGCGGGGGCCTGTTCAGACTCATCCTTGGACTGACTCTGTCCTCTCCCCGCAGACCCGCTCCTCCCCTGAGAAAACAAGTTCCTCCTCTGCTTCTTCCCCTGGCTCTCCGACTCCACCGTGGAGGAGGAGGAGGAGGCGGATTTGGGCGGAGCGGACCGTCCCAACTGCTCCTCCTCGTCGCCCAGCATTGGGCCGCTTTTCTCCAGGGCCGCCGCTATGGCTGCCTTCTCCTCCTCGCAGGGCTTGTCAAAAGACCAGCGGCGCCCATCTCCGACGGGGCCCTTGAGGAGGTCCGTGGAAGGCCTGAGGTTCTGCAGAGACACGGAGAGAGGCAAAGACTTCTGCAGCGGGCCCAGGCCTAAAGAGTCCGCAGGTTTTCCTGAGCCCGGGTCCAGGGGCTGGACGCCGTAAGCATGGCTTCCGTTAACGCACACAGTGGGCTGAGGCACTGCGATGGTGATCTCACCGTCCTCGTCACCGAACTCGCATATGAGAGAGGACGTGTGCTCTGCAAAAACCAGAGCAGAGAGACAGAAAGGCAGCGTGATAAAGATGAGATCAATAACTCACATTTGCAGGTGACTTAACGGGTGATAACACCTAGTAACAGCTTAGACTGACGAGACGTTTCCCAGCTAGATGGATTAGCATCACTAGCAGAGATACAACAGATGTTAGAATAAAGGCTTTCTAGTATAATGTTGCTCTGAGCTTCACAGTGCAGCATCCCTCCACTCAGGTGATTTAACGATGGAGATGGCACTCAGGGGACCACCTGCCTCCATAAAGTCCACACAAACTACAGCAGCTTCACATGTGGGCTTTTCACTTGAAGTTAATTAATCATTTGCACATTATTTACTAGTATTATGCACATATACTTTAGTTTGTTAGCTGAAGGTGAATGATACGGACAATCACAGCCTTTTCTCCATTTTAATACATCATTATATTCACCTAAGTACTCAAAAACAGCTGAAATTATTATTTTTTTAAATCTATAATAAAATGATTTATGGTAACAAACAGAGACATGTGGCAACATAACCCGTCCATTAACCTTTATTAAGATAATTAAAGGAAGTATTTGTGGCACCCTTCTGTTTAATAACCACCACTCCTGTAGCACGAACGAGCTAAAACCAGTTTCACAGCCTTCCATTCACTCAACAGTGGAGCTTCCTTTTTAGACATGACTACAAGTGACAAGCAACTTCATGAACGAGAACATAAACCAAATCTCTTAAACCACTTATACGGTTCTCACACACACTTGGTGAACTAGAGGGAATGAGCTCTAAAGGAAGTGCTTAATTTAGAAATGTTTGACATACATTTGAGATAAATTACCCTGAAACTATTTATCGATCAGTCGATTGACAAAAAAAGAATCTGCAATTATATTAGTTTATTTTTTCATCAAGATTAGTGGAATAAATGCTAAATATCTACTGCTTCCAGGCTCCAACATGAAACCATGTGTTGCTGTTCCTCATCAGAAATCATCATAACCTGAATATCTTTGGCTTCTGGACAATTCGTCAAACAAAACAAGACCTTTAAGACGTCTCATCGGACTGTAGAAAGTAACAATGAGCATCCTTTCACAATTATGTGATATTTTATTGACTTACAATTACTCAAGAAAAAAGGTTGTTTGCAAGAGGGGAACCTGACGAGTTGAATATGAGGAAGAGGAAGGACGACTGTGAATAGTGAGAATAATACTCAGTACGTGCTCATTCTCACCTGGGCTGTTGTCGACCGTGAGGTTGCTGCTGTTGCTGGGTGAGTTGGAGAGGTCGGAGACCACCACGCTAATGCCGGCCGTGGGGCTCAGGCTCCCTCCCCGCGACGACGACTCGCTGCTCTCCGAGCCCAGCGACGTGCTGGAACGAGTGTCCGACGACTTCCTCAGCTTCCCTCTCAGGAAGAAGGTCCTCATCTTGCTCCGCCGGGCCTCGCCCCCCTCGTCGTCCTCGTAATCCTCCTCCCCGCCTCCATCGCTCGGCAGCCGCTGCCGTATGCGGTGAAGGGACCCGTAACCGCTGGGTAGGACTGCCGACGCAGAGTCCTCCTCGCTGGATCTCCTCTTCCCCTTGATGCGCTCTTTGAGCTTGCCGAAGGTGGAGGCGCCCTTGTCCTTCATGACCAGGTCGTACATGCTGGCGGTCAGGTTGTTCCGGGTGAACTGGACCGTGACTTGAATGTCTCCTCGTTCCTTCTCCTTCTTCCCCGTCTTGGAGTTGAGCTTGTACCACCTGCAGCAGACACCAGATTACTCATGAGGTTAACAGCAAACACATTTAGCAGTTAAACAAGAAGTCACTTCATCAATTAGTTGGTCGACAGAAAATCAATTAATTGTGGAGGTCGTTTATCAAACAGAAATGCAGAACTGTCGGCGGGTCCAGCTTCTGAAATTTGATATATTTGCTGCTTTGTTCTATTTAATATCATCGTTTTTTTTAATGTCTTTGCGTTTTGAACTGTTGGTCAGATCATGTAGTTAAAAAACACCATCTTGGGCTCTGTGGTGGATGTTTTTCATTCTTATTAGACATTTTATGGCTAAAATGATTAATGAATTAATCAAAAACAGTCATGAATTGATCCCCACTTCTTCCTTTTAATACCTGAATTGGGTTTCTGTTTACGTTTATGGCCCTGGATAGAATTGGAGGAGATATTTTGGGCACCAGGTTCCATAAGTTAAAGTCCCAGAGACAGTGTGAGGGGACTCATAGTTGGAGCAACATGAAACTCTCTCGACTAAATCATCAGTAGAAAAGATTAACAGCTGCGTTAAATATCTGCTTCTCTGATAATAAAAGAAATAGTCAAATGGTACAAGTCTGTGTACAAAACAAACGTTGAGTCTGAAGGTGCATTTCAGCCAGAAACATCATAGCAGGAGCTGATATAGTGTTACATGCGGCACTAACTGTGGGAGAAAGCTAAAGTTTACATTGTTGAGAAGAGCTCTGCATCTCAAATCAAATCGGTTTTAAATTCTCTGTTCATTTTAAAGGAATTCAGCAACTATTGTGCCGTGTTTAGTCGAAAACATCACTAAGTACGAAGCGTTGTGAATTCACCACCGACCGCTCTGATTCGGGCCTGTTATTGGCTTCTTCTCCATGGAAACAGCAGCCGAGGCTCATGGGTATTGTAGTATCTATACCTGCCTGCCATGTCAAATGATGAACAAAACATCTCAGGAACAAAGCCTGAGTAGACAATGAAATAAAGCTCCAGGATCATTACATTACTGCTACTCTCTATGATAAGTAACATTGAGGAAATCATTAAAAGAAACATTTAAATGACTACAGAACGGGCAAAACAGCCATCATTAGTCATTAGTCAGTTCAGCGTTGACATGAAACAATGTGAATGAGTGTGTTGTTATGATGATCAGGGCTAAACTGTCCTCAAACAGGTCGAGTGTCTGTCTGTGTCCTATTAACACCGCAAGGCTGCATGTAGCCAGACATCCCATAATACCTCGGGGAGGCCTCTTGTTTTTTGTCATCAGACTGGTTATAAGCAAGAACAATGAAGTAAAACAAAAGCTCCTTTCTGACTCAACAGTGAGTGTCCTACATAAGTATGAATGCAGAACAGATTGCTCCAACTGTAAAGTGCTTTACTGGACGGACACGGAGGAGCAGTTCTTAGAAACGCTGCTTACCGGTGGGCGTAGCAGCGCCAACACGTTCACCACACCGTGACTCATGGGAAAGTCTCATCTGCTCCGCTTCGACCAGTTTACAAAGATAATATGACTGAGAAGAATTCCCCCTGTCAACATGTGTTCTTTTAAACTTGGCTGTTACCAACGTGAAGTCATCAGAGCAGGGAGCAAGACTGAAACCGGGCCTGAAACCAAGACCTGCTTTTATTCTCTCACTTCCTGTGCTGTTTGGCTACTTTCACCTCACACCACGACCACAGCACCTTGTTCATAAATAAGCTCTCCGAGTTTGGGTGACACTACCTGCCCAATATTTCACAATACCTTTCTGAAAGAGTACAATTCTACTTGGTTCCACATGTGGGTTAAACAGTAGTTTCACGGAAATATTATCTAATTATATCACTGAAAAACAATCTAATAGACCTGAAGACAAAAAGACCCAGCGACAAAGCTGCATGCTTTAATGAGCAAATGCTGACATCTTTACCGAACACAAGTCGTTGCTGAAAATAGAACAAAAAACGTGTCTTTAACTGAATTAAATGCAATTAAATGTAGCTGACTTTGTAATCCCTTTTAGTGGTTGTGAAATACTGATAAACAAGTGAATTCAGTCTCAATGCACAAACATAAAACAAGATGTCAGAGCAGTTAAAGGAGGTAAAGTACAACTAAAGCCCTGGTCTGTTGAGTCAACACGAAAAACTAAATGTCATGCTATGGAGAGATAAATGTGCGACTGAAGAAAAGTCAGAAGAAATGAGGTTTAAACTTCAAATACGAGACATGAAAGACTAAAGTAAAAACACTGATGTAAGAAGCATCTGAGAAAGGAGCCTCACACATTTACTGCATAGCCAGAAAACACAGTACTTTTCATTTCCCCCCAAAAAACAAGATTTCCTCTTTTTGTTCTGTGAACCTTCAGTGTGACTCTGCAGACACTCAGCGAGGCAGTAAATGAACACGAGGCACAACACAACACGTCTAAATAAAGGCTGCAGACGGTTTGTTCACTGAACTCAGCGGCCCGTTAGACTGGTGATCTTCTGGTTCAAGCATTTAAAAAAATGATGCTATGAATTAATACTTTTTTTATGGCTGCTATTATTTGTTTTTACCAATGTCATACTTAAAGTTTTCCATTTATCCTCCAGTTTTAATATCAGTGTAAAAAAATGTGAGAACAGCATTTAGACTAAACTAAAATAATGAAATAATAATGAAATCCTTTTACTTAACGCTGCAAATACTGTGCCTAACAAGACTGTTGACTGTTCATATTTAGTATCGTAGCATGTTAGCATGCTAACGTTAAGGTGTTATGATCAAGGTTAGCATGTTAGCATGCTAACGTTAAGGTGTTATCATGATCACAGTTAGCATGTTAGCCTGCTAACATTAAGGTGTTATAATGATCACAGTTAGCATGTCAGCAGGCTAACGTTAAGGTGTTATCATGATCACAGTTAGCATGTTAGCAGGCTAACGTTAAGGTGTTATGATCAGTTAGCATGCTAGCATATAATGTTTAGCAGGAGAGTGGGGCTGGGCGATGTGGAATCATTATCAAGATATTAATACTGATTTATTTTATCTGACATCAACTTTCAGTGTTCTGAGCGTCTGATATTTATTAAAAGGCCATTAGCATTACACTCTTCTGAACCCAGTGTTTGTATTTCCAGGTCCTGTACGCGTATGTACAGGAAGTTTCCTTCTCTAGCAGAAAAAGGCATTGGTGTAATTGTAGGCTGCAGGACAACACACACACACACACACACACACACACACACACACACACACAC